ACGTGATTGACGGCAAAAATTCAAGATTATTTAAATAAAACACTATAACGGTTTGAAACACGATATACATTAAATACTGTCTATAGTTTACTCGAGTAGTACACATTTAAATGAAACACTTTAACTGTTTACTCTCTCCTCGTGAAACATCGGGCCGAAGTTAAAAATCATTTTCTAATAAGTTTAACTAATATAGAGAACTATATAAAGAAAAGAAATATGCTATTATACAGTGCAACCTTAATATAACGAACCTCAATATAACGACTTCCTCGATTTAACAAATTCTTCGTAATCCCCTAAATTGTCCATAACACTCAATATAAAATATACCTTTTCATTGCGAACATTATTTGCGTACAACCGCTTTATAACGAATTTTCAACTATCAAGAAAAAGTATTCATACCTCTAATTAACAAATTTTGCCAACCCAAAACCTTTATAAAGTAAAGCAATCATTGTTGTTTTGATGAAAAGTAATGTAAACACCTCTTCTCGTCACTATTGTTAAAGATTTATGTAAGTAAATGGCTCAGAAACGTATAAGGTGTTCCTTATCGGTGGCAGAAAAGCGAAACATTATTAATTATATTGACCATTATCCAATGACGAAAAAATTAGATATAGCTAATAAGTTCGGGGTTCCCGCAAGTACATTGGCTACAATTTTAAAATTTATAGATTGAATTGAGGTTGAATGTAGACAGTAAAAATTCAAATCATGCGAGTTCAAAGACTAATAAGAGTAATATCGAGGTGAATAAAACTATTCTTTTACCTCTTTATAACGAATTTTAGACCAATCTAACCTCAACATAACAAACCTCAGTTCAACGAATTACTTGATATAACGAATATTTTCTTCTTCCCCTCCGATTTATTATATCGAGGTTGCACTGTATATAGTATAAGATAATATATATTGCTTTTGATATTGATACTTTAGCGTGGAATAAATATTTAATTATTATCACACGAATTACTTAAATGGACACGGTTATTGTATAAAAAAAAGACATGTTATCATCTATTAAAAGCAATATTGGCAGAGAATTGTTAAGTGGTCAGACAAGTAAACGAAGGCTTGACATTTTCAAAAGCGAACTACTTGTTATAGCTAGCACTTTGTAATGTATCTTTTTTTAGAAACCGTAGAATAACACTGTTCATAATTACAATAAATGGAATAATAGTGTTAAATCGAGTTCCCTATGTAAGTCTATCTAGGGGTTTTATACACAAATTAGCTGATCCGGGAAACATTGTATTGTTTAAATAAAACACTTAACGGTTTAGAACGCGATATATTAGTTTTACTAATATACTAATAAACTATAAAACGGTTTTTGTGAATTAATCTTGAAACGACTCTAACAAATGTGCTTAATTTCACTTTCGATAAACGGACTTTTTGAGGTAATTTAAAAAGGATTCTTTCATGTACACTGTCGCGGACTTTTTTGGTTTCTTAAAAAGGATTTTTCCACCGTTTCAAATTGTTTCCTCTCTTTCGAAGTAGTTCCTAAGGTTAGCACACTTGAACAATCAAACTGACTTTCGCTTTATAATATTAGTATAAAGATATAGTAACTTAGGCCCTGTTGAGTCAGCAATTCTTTTTATTAATTTTTGTTGAGTTTAGCTATTAGGAAACATACTAATACCTAAACGCGGATTTTCTTTTTCTGTATTTCAGTGTGTCCTAGAGAGTCTAACATATTTAAATAAAACACTTTAACGGTTTAAAACTCGCTATTGTTGGACTAACGAGACCGTCAAGATTTTTACATATTGATAACACCAGGATACCAAACCTTTTACACAACTTTTCCTAAGCAACACGCTCAACCACTGACCTCAACCACCTTAGGCCGTTATAAGAATGCTCTGTTTTATCCAAACCACTAGGATCCCATAATGAACCAAGTGCGTTAAAGCTTGCAGCGTGCAATAATTGCGTACTCCATTCACGTTCGCATTGGAACCGCACACAACCTTGTAGATTACGTCAAACGCTTTATTTAGCCTTATATGTAATTCAAAATACGTGCACGCGACCATTTACAACTCCTACAAGAGTATGCTGCCCTGGTACTCGAAGATATAATAAGGATTCTATTTCACAGACCGACGTGGATCCTTGTAATATATATCTGTTTTTTTTATGCTAGAGGAGGACAGCTAAGAATGTCTTGGATTTGCTCACTAGTTATGGTCTATCTATCTAAGTGTAGTTCCAACGTGTGTAGTGCAACACTTTCAACCATAGAGTCATGGTGGCATTATTTTAAAATAAAAAACTTATTCCACGATTGAAAACTTTTATATTTTAATGTTATTGCACACGAAGGCGCTATATAATTTAAAAATCTATACTAATATATAAAGCTGAAGAGTTTGTTTGTTTGTTTGAACGCGCTAATCTCAGGAACTACGGGTTTGAATTTTTTTTTGTTAGAGCACTTATCAAGGAAGGTTATAGGCTATAACACATACTAATAGGAGCAAAGATACAGCGAGAATTGTGAAGAAAATGGGGGAAATTTTTCATCTCTGTAGGTTTCAGATGCGTACGCTGCGAAAACGGTTCAAGATACCTAAAAATTGTGTATGAAAGAATGATTTCCCTACAAATGATCTAAAAAAAAGTCCGCGACGCTATATGTCTATCTTTTAAGATTAACTTGACGACGGGAAGGGACGCGATCGACGTTGTGGCGAACAGCTTAAGTTTATAAAGATGACGGGGTTTGCAAAAACTTATTCGGATGCCCAAAATAACGATTCTCGCGGACAAAGTCGCTGGCACAGCTAGTCTAAAATAAATTGAAAAAGATGTTCGACTCGGGCAGGTTTTAACCGGCATCGTCAGCGTTCCGTGCTGTTGCTCTACCAAATGAACCTTTATAACACATAAGTGTTAAGGTTGAGATTACAGTGCGCGAAAGGTGCATTATTCCACGATTGTTATTAAAAAAAAGTGAAAAACATATTTATATTTATTTAATTAAGTCATTAGTTCCCCAACTTGTATTCATATTTTCTTAGGATGGAGTTTTTGGCACGTAGCAACGAGCCGTGTAGACTCGAATGTAATTACAAAGTTATTTAGGTTTTCGTCTTAACCAGAAATCAGTACATATGTTTTCCATTTTCAATAACGAACGACACGGTCAAGAATTCTGCGAATGTTTATCTTCTACTTCGGAGCATTAAGAATTTTTCACTTCGTTTTCGGTTTATTCAAATGAATTGCGTTTTGGTTGTAGATTACCTTTTAATATGGAATGGAAATTAAAGTTTTCTTATTTCAATTACTGACATCGTTTTTCGATTTCGAGGAATAATTTTGACTCATGACTTCTGTCTGAAAGATATTACAAAAAGTTCCGCAAAGCACTATAAGATTATAATAATGTAAAAATGTATTGTCCGAAGGTGTCAAAGATAAATAATTTTTAAAATAAAACACTGTAACGGTATAAAACTCGAAATATATTAGTTAAACGTATTTTTCAAATTATGGTAACTTCGTCGCGCTAGCCGGAGAGACCCCTGACTATGGAACGCAAAGCATCCGAAACGGCGGGCCATAGTTAAAATAATAATATAATATATACTTCGCGTTTTAATCCGTTAAAATGTGTACTACTCACGTAAACTACAAACAAGAGTCTGACTTGTGAGTAATTATTGAGTTGTGTTTTTGATCCCCACTGGGTCCAACATTTTTCTAATAAATTTAAATTTTTCTGAAACATGTTTGGCTTCGTCTGGAAATCTGGATTTAAAAACGTGGAATATCAAAATTCCACCCGGGTCACGAACTACTGTCCACAGATGCTAAAGCCGTGAAGTTTAATCGCGTTTCGATTTCTGTGGATTGATCCAAAGCCAAGATAGGTTGACAGGCATCTATCTTGTTTAGATGTTATATGCTGGGGTCACACGTACCATTAAATGAATCGTGCTTGTCCTCCTGTATCATAAACTCGCAAAGACTTTTATTTTTTTTACCAATGTATTAGTAGTCCTGACAGCTGTTACTTAAAATATGTTCCTTATAATTCAAATAGACCTTTAGGTGTATAGTGTAGTTCTGTTTTCATACATTCCCGGCCATCCCAGGAGGCTACTGAATTCTTGATGCGAGTTCTCGATTCAATATTCTCATCCAATTTGCCATCGCGCGCCTAACGCTGGCGTCTCGTAAATTACATTGTAAAGCGAATAATAAAATATCTGCTTTTATACTGTTTGTTTCATAAACAAAGTATCTATGCTTGAACGCCGTCACGCGAGCATAATTCTGCATAGCATTGCTGCAGCTGACATAGCTTTGAAAGAACTCTAAGAATTATAATGTTCAAATAAAATAATTTAACGGTTTAAAACGCGACATATATTAGTTAAACTTATTTCAAAATTGTTTTAAACTTCGGCCCACGTCGGATGCTTTGCAGCAGTCGTGGTCACGGCAAGACTTTATTTTCAAATAAGTTGCTAACTAATATATATCGCGTAGTTTAAACTGTTGAAGTGATTTATTTAAATGTGTACCACTAGCGTGGGAAAAAAAAAGGGAAAGTTGTGGAATAAAGCGGGGGGAAAAAAAGAAACTACAAACTGATTTTGATACTGTTTACTGTAACTTGAACGTCGTCACGCGAGCATACATGTCCATAATGGAATAAGAATTGAGGTGAAATTAACATCCAGACAGCTTAACTTTTTTTGATATGTACATTTTTTTTTTGGTTGTTTTATAATGTAAAGCCTTCCTTGATAAGTGGTCGCAACCAAAAACTAAATTTTCATTTCTAACGTATCACTCTGTTTCTTTGCTCTTATGTCCAGTCAGGTATTGGCGTGTTAATAAGAAACAAACTCTTCGGCTTACTAATGTTATAAAGCTGATTTATTTTTTCTATGTTAATACTCATGTATTTTTATAGTAGTTTCGTTAAATGTATACTGATGGAAATATTCTTGTTACAGTGTATGAAGTCGTACGTGGAATTTGAGATCTGCAATGGAGCGTACGAGGTTTCGTGTCCAGACGCGCGATGCAGTACGAGCGGGGCGCTGTCCCTAGACGAGATATCGAAATTGGTGTCCAGTTCTACGCTGGATAAGCATATAAAATTCAGGATAAATCATGGTGAGTGGTATCATATTTTATTCAATACATATGACATTCTCTTTAGTCTAATGGTAGCAAATTATTGCTAATAAACAACAGGTCGTGAGTTCGTGTTATCCACCGGCATCAACATTCTACTAACTAGAAAATCTTAATATTGAATGGGTCGTAGGGCTTTCGGAATTCCGTCCGGGTCACGAACCGCCGTCCATAGATAAAAAAATTCAGTTTATTTCCGAATTTTCAAGGAAAAAGGTAGGTCGATACCTGCATCTTGTTAGATGTTCTATGGCTGGGGTATTTTACCATTATAACCATCAAGAGAACCTCATGCTTGTCCTCTATCTTAAACATAACATAACATAATAATAAAACTCTATTGCACTAACATAAGACCATATAATGAAAGTTATTTAAACAAAATAAAAAAATGTTTGTGCAAAGGCGGCTTATGCTATGGTCTTCCAGATGAACTTTGCATACAGACAAACAAAAGAAGAACAAAATTTTACTAAACACGAAATTCAACATGGAAAATAAAATTATACAATAAAATGAAATTTAAACTGAAAATAAAATAAAATACTAAAGCTAAACATACTATATAGATAAAATAACAAATAAACCATTAGACTTATATTTCTTCCCATTAAGTCCTAAATCTGTTAATTCACAATACATAGGAACTTAAATATATCTTAACACACTTTATACAGATAAGTACTTATTAACATAATGTGTTATTATTCCAAACACGTAAGAGACACGTCGAAACAACTCACCATAAGTATGGTAAAAAAGTGAAATTCTGTTTTCCCTACATGGGTCGTTGTCCCTACACTTCTGCTTTCCTGATTTTAGTGCCCAGTCCGACCGATACAATTTATTATGTTTCCCCGAGATTACCTACTTAAGGTAATGAGAAGCAATAAGTTTAACTATATAGTTACCTGGAGTACGGTCCAGTAAATTAGGTAAGATAAAAACTAAAGTTATATTTACATTTTCACGCCTAAAGAATAACCTTAAAATGACCAGTGTGAGTACAATGGAGTATGATCTCACGTCTTCACAGCAATTTGTCATGCTATGAAGTCACAATTATTGTATTCAAAAGATAAGCCAAATAATTTTATTATCTCTATAATCCGCGCCGATGTGTGATCTTCAAATATCGGCAGAGGACAATATAGAGTTTAAATAAATTTTAACACGTATTTCCTATCGTAGCGCAATGGCTCGGCGTTGCCCAGCAATGTAGGTGTCAAAAGACAGCGTCTGTGCTGTAAAATGTCTCTTGCCTAGATCGTTGCATAGCAATGGGAAATTAAAGGGTTGTATCGTATCGTCGTAAACTTATTAAAAATAAAACAAGCGTTTATTACTTGTTTTATATAAATACTAGCTGCGCCCGCGACTTCGTTCGCGTGGGGTAGAATTTTTAATTATTTAGGCTGTTTATTAATTTATGTAATTGCGCATTTATCGCAGCCAATCTATGTTGCAAGTGCTACTTTGCCGCAACACTCTTACCTCACATCATTCCTACTCTAACCCTCACTCCCACTCCCACTCATATTCCCAAAAAGCCAAAGAAGAAAGTTTCATTTTTCTAGCTTCAAAAACCACGAATTTCCATATAAACATTCACCCCACCTTTTAACAATCCCTTACAACCCCTTTTTCGCAATAAAAAGTAGCCTATGTTCATTCTCAGGGTCTAGACCATCTGTACCACCAAATTTCATTCAAATCCGTTCAGTAGTTTTGGCGTGAAAGAGTAACAGACAGACAGACAGAGTTACTTTCGCATTTATAATATTAGTAAGGATATAAATAATTTTAACCGACGATTTAAGTAGTTCGCCCAACGACGAAAATAAATAAAAATCGTATAAGTAAATATAAATAATAAAATTAGGATAAACACATTTAAAAAGAAGAAAAAAATACTTTAATTAATAACTTGCAATAAGGACGGAACGCGGACGAATCGCTAACACAGCTAGTATTTTTGTCTAAAGGACGTTTGCCAGGTTCGTTAGTTAATAATATTGCATGTACATAAACCAGACCAAAGTTCTTCTTATATTACAAATGTCTATAAGGGTATAAATGAAAGCGATGGAAACTTTTCTCTCCTGCCACAGACGGCGTATGTACTCACGTTGGAGTCAAGAGCGAGGTGCAAATTAATTGGACTAGCGAATGCTAATCGATAAATCTCGACGCGCTCACATGTCGGGCTTACGCAGTTTCAAATTAAATGAAATACGTCGCATTATAATTTTTTAACAATATGTATTATGAAGCAGGTGCCTAAATGAAATAAGATATTATGTATTAGTCTAACAAATGGGAAACATATTTTAAAAAGCTAAAAGCGCGAATATATTCAAATGCTTTATGACCCGACGGTCATACAGTTACTACGGCGAGAGGTACGCAGTTCGAATCTCCGAAAAACAATATTATTTCGATCGGGTAGGGCATACAAGTCTGATTTGGCTCGATTGATGGATCAACAACCTAGCTGATCGCCAGACTTCCCCGCGACTGTCTAAATGGCCCTGGTGTCGGTAAAGACTTGATTCTTCCAACTCCAAATCAACAGATATCGTAGGCTCGAAACGTAAGTTAACCCGTCGATAACAGTAGTAATTGTGTTGCCTTAGTAAGCCTACCAACCTACACTGGCGCAGCTAAACTCCTTAATACAAGAAAACTTAGCCCATCTGTAAGACAGCTAGGTTGAAACAAGAATATGAGGCTCGATGTTGACATTCGTATTACTAAACCCTAAAAGGGCTTGGGTCCCCGGACACCAAGGAAATAATGGCAATGAGAGAGCGGACGAACTCGCTCGCGAAGGAGCCGATGAAAGCTTGATTGGGACCGGAACCGAGACTTCCGATAGCCCATAAAGTAACCAAGGGAATAGTCGAGCGCAGAATCTTAGAAGAGACAAACCAAAGATGAAATCTTCGACTGGCATGAGACAGTCGAAAATGTTCATAAAAACGAGAGTGAATATCAGACTCATCGTAGAAATCATAACAGGACATTGCCGTCTAAACAGACATCTTACAATGATAGGAATAGGTAGCGATCCCCTATGCCCGGAGTGCAGAGAAAGTGAGGAAACAAGCATCCATCTACTCACTGAATGCTCTGCGTACTCGAGGCTAAGACAAATGCATATGGGCTCGGACGAAGTTACAGAAGATGACATTAAAGAACTACAGATGGAAAAAATAATAAGATTCTGCAAGCAAACCGGAAGGTTTGAAGGGGTCACGGGGGGGGGGGTGGATGACCCAAAACCTCTACAAGGAGGAAATGGAGAAATGGGTGAAATCGTCAGCGGATAACGTGGGCTGATCACCCGACTCCTGCCATGGGTGTCCCCGATAGAAAATAATAAGAATAAACCCTAAAGATTAAAGCTGAAGTAATTAATTGCTGTTTTCGTATTGTGTGCACGTGTCTACTAAATATCATCACACTGTTTGGGGGGGCGTTGTCATTCCCCGCGGGTTCAGAAATTGCTTAAAATCACGCGACTGTCAGTCGCTACTCCAATAAAAAGCTTGATAAATGCCGATTCTATTTTCAGTCTTCGCCTAAATTATGTCTTTTTATTTACATTAGGACCGAATGCTAGTGTATAGATACTTTGTGAAGTTTTTTTAAAGTGATGAAAAGCGAGTTTTTGATTCTTTTATGAAAAAGGTGACCTCTGAATTTTACGTCCCATCGTTCTACGGGCACTGACTTTTCTGTTCTTTTTTTTATTACCACAGAGGAGGATAGATAAGCACGGATTTCATTTAATGGAAGGTCATAGCCATCTAAACAAAATGCGCCTTAGACGTGTTTTAGCTCTATACATTCAGAGATCACAGACTGACATCGAAACAAACAAACAAACAAAACAAAAAAAAAATTTATTTCACCACAATGAAACGTGGATTTACACTGCACGACTTTTGTAGACGATGATATTTATTATTTTTTATATTTTTACATTTAAATACTGTCTGTAGTTTACACGAGTAGAACAAATTAAAAAAAAAAACACTCCACGATGCTTTACAGCAGCCGAAACGTCGAGCCGTAGTTAAAATAATTTTCAAATAGGTTTAATTACTATCTATCGCGTTTTAAACCGTTAAATTGTTTTATTTATTTTTTTTATATTTTTTCCAGATGAAGCATGACATGTGTCAAAATAATTTAGAATGATGTTAGACCTAGTGGTTATTTTAATTTACATTACTACCATTGGATTTATCGTATATTTTTATACGGATACATCGCACACGAATTTAAAGTGTATGAAAATCGTGCCTCTGGCACCTTTGCGCAAATTTTTGCCTTAACTAAGACTTAGAAATTATATTTCATTAAAAATTCAAAAACATTCCGTTGCAACAAAACATTTAAAAAATTTCGATAAGACCATGTTGCATGTGTAATTATTGTGTTACGCTCTAGTTCGGTTAAACCATGGTCATCGTTCTATTGAGCGTTATGTAACGCCTAGGAAGGATGTTGCTTGTGTTCTATTACTCAAAAATAAATGAGGGTACTTTATATCTTTCGATATCGAAATTTGAGGTTATTATTTAGCTGTCTATATGTAGTCTAAGACTAATAAACACACTTAGTTGGTCTATATGTGTGTTTAATACAAAAATAAATTAAAATAATTTTTTTAACATTTACGATAAGAAGTATTATAAGTACAAGTAAGTATTTGCTATTTCACTTCAATATGTAAATACCAACCTTTTGATGTACAGTATTAATGCTCTCATCTTGTTTGCGTGATTAGAGCTTTTGCCATCAACTGGATGGGATGGGACGAAATAATTCTGCTTATTTCCTCGTCGGGACACACAACCTTATAGACCGTACTGGCTATACTAAAGATATGAAAGACTCACATAAATCCATGCTTTAAAATGTACAGCCTCTATTCCTAAGAGAGCTTATGTTGCAATAAATTTCCCTCGAGAACAGCCCGAATACAGAAAGAGTTCATCGTGAAGGTGTTCTAATAATAATAACCTTATTTGAAGGTTGAAGGCTAACATATATATATACAGAATACATATGAGGCTGCTAGAGATAGAGTGGCGTAACTGCAATTTTATAACTATTTTTTATTTAATTTCAAGGACTAAAAATGTTAATCTACAAGAGTACATTACCGAAAATTGTTGACACAATTCTTACACAAAGTACAAATTCATTTTCGCCTAAGGTAATTGCGCATTTTTATTTTCTTCTTTATTGAAAATCATGTTTTTTGTTAATAGGCCACTCTGCCTCTATCAGCCTCGTATATAAAGAATAATTGAAAATAAATCATTCCAATACTACATTATGTAATAGATAGTTGTCACGTAAATAGGCAGTTAACTCATTAAGGACAATGGACCATCAATCATAAAGGAGCGTAGTTATTAGAAACTGATACGACATTTTATCATTCCGATAAAAACTCGAATATTCATTTGTTTGTATAAAAAACTTTTAACGCGAAATATATTTCTAAACGTATTCACAATTTCGGATGCTTGCTGATCGACGGCAGCCGCTGGTCAACGAAAACTCGGTGACCTACGGCTTCTGTAAAGCATCCGAATCGTTGGGCCGTAGTTAAAATAAAATGTAAATGACGTTACTAATATAATTCGCGTTTTAACCCCTTAAAAGCGTTTTATTCAAATGTTTATTACTCGCATATAGTACACACAATACTTAATATTAATTTAAAGAACCGTGTCTCCTATTGGACATCGGACAAATATTAGGGAGTTACTGAGCTGTCACTATCTATGTATCGTCATGAACGATTTTAATTCGTTTATATAGGAAAGTATAGTAATCGTTTTTGGTATATCTGACCGAAGCAAGTGTTTTACCTCAAAACCAGGGCCATGTTCATGTTTAGCGTGATGCTAGGCGATACGATTTTTATTAAAAAATTTTAATTGCTAAGTGTTGGCTATGAGAACTATTTGATTCCTTAAAATAGATCTTCCTTACATAATACATACGGATATTTCTACTGACATGTTGAGAGTTGTGACAGAGTAATGGCGTAAATTGTCTTCTCGAAACGCCCAGTCATCAACTACCAAGTAATTTATAGTATAAAAGAGTGGGAGTTTGTTCCGCGGAAAAATGGTTCTGTTCAATTAAAATAAAACAGCGAAAAACCTCGTTTGTTCTGCTACTTATTAACTTGTGAATAATATTACAAATTGATTTGTAACATTTAGAATGAAATATATAAATTATATGAATTTTGATTACCGGAACCCTAAAAACAAAGGTACAGACTTTCGAACATTTTTTTGTTAAGGTGGTCATTATTAAAACTAAGACTATAAAGCATAGATTCCGATGTCACAGTTTTAAAACAAAAAAACGGATTTTGTTTAGTAACAACTAATAAGAACATGGACAAATTACTAAAGAATATCATATTTTAATAGTATAAGTTTTTTTTTAATTTTCGGTTGCGGTGCTAAGTAAAACAAATTGATCGTTCCTATAATAACAAGGGGTTTGACAGCCCTATACAGAAATGATAAGTTTTTAAAACTGTGCTACTGATAATATGGTCATTTAGCGATGAGTATGACTTTATAAGCGAATGACAGACGGTGGAACAGAAGCAATATAATATAACAAATTAAAAATAATAAAAAAAAATTGTTTTCTTTGTTTATTTTTTCATTTTATTATAACAACAAAATAAATGAATACATGTATATATGTAATAATATCCTATCCATTCAATCATTTGCTCAATTTTATTTCTAGAGAAAGTATAGTTGAATGTGTGCAAAATAGCAGTTGATTTCTTTTCTGTTTGAATGTACAAATGTACCTTGCGATTGTGTTATTTAAAGTCGACATAAACAAGTACTTATAAGTATTTCCGCGATCCGTACTGGAACTGGCAATCGTATAAACGCAGGTCATCGACTCTCGCGCATTAAAACTCGCTTTCGTTTCTCATGTTTTATATTATAGATGTGCCATAGTATCTATGATTCTGGTAGAAAATGAAAGTTACTATAACTTGTATTTATTAGTTATATTTTTATTCAATTGAACTGTTTTATATTATACCGGCTGTGCCAGCGATTTCGTCTGCGTATAATAGTTATTTCAGGCATCAACGAAATTTGTTTTTGGCAAACCTCTTTCTTATCTTTATAAATCACACACGACACCGCTCGCGTCCCGTTGTTCTAGCAAGTAAATCTTAAAAGATAGAGATATAAGGAATTTTTTAGAGAAAAAGAGTAATCATTCTTTCGTACATAGTTTTTAGGTATCTCGAACCGTTTTTGCAGCGCACGCAACGGAATCCTAAAAAGCTATAGCTATATATTTCCCCGTTTTTGCCTCATACAAAATGTCCAAGGCCAACACAAAAATGATTTTTTTTTATTGCAACAAGCAGTTCCTGAGATTAGCGCGTTCAAACGAAAAACAAACTCTTAAGCTTTACTACTATTTCAACTAAGTGTTAAGGAAGTCAATCGCTATCCTGCATGATAACTACGTGATGAGTTTTACGTAAATTATGCATGTGTATACTATACATAAATTGCAATACTAAAAATATCATTTTATTAATGCAGGAATATCTTTTGCTACCTATAGAGTAGCGATTGTTTCTAGGAAGCTTTTACGCAATTAGGTAAAATTAAAAAAAATGCTCATGCGTATGTATTTATGAAATACCAGAAAATGTTTGAGAAGTATTGTTTTCGTTTACGCGAGTACACATTTAAAACCCTTATAACGGCTTAAAACGTAAAAGGTATTAGTTTACTTTTTACGATTTATTTAACTACGGCCCATCGTTTCATGATATGCCTTATCATGAAACGTCGGGCCCTGGATTTGAGGTAAAACACTTGCTTCGGTCTTATAACCCAAAAACGTTTTCTACTTTCCTATTAAAACTAAGACATTTGTCATTTGAAAAAGTTAAAGGTGCATTTAAACATGTTTGTTTTGTAGCCTACTTTAGGTTTAGATGTTGTTATAAACTTAAAAACAATTGTGTTTTTTTAGAGCACGTTACAATCTAAAATTAACTCTAGTTGTCCCGAAATGTTTTATACCTATATTAGCTTTATATATGTGGTAAGATATATTTTAAGTGTTTTGTCTAAATACTTTAATATTAATATAATTTTATTGAGTATCAAAATGACTTTTTCAGAAGTGGCAATGGACGCCATGAGAGCCTTTTGCCCCCGACCTGGATGCGATACAATTGTTCAAGTCCGGGCGACCAGCCCGGCCCATTGTCCCAAGTGCAAACACGACTTCTGCTCTCAATGCAATCAGGAGGTGAGTTCAACCACCTTCATTCATCACTTCATAATCTTCCAGATACTGAATGCAGCGTAAATTAGATATTTAATTAAATCAGAAATCAATTTTTTACTTATACTGATATTACCACAATGTAAGAAATATTTAAATTTTTAAACCGAATTAAAAATTAATTTACCTTCTAATATTCATTAACTGCAGAAGGCTAAAATACGTGTATGACAACTACTTATCTATTCTAGAAGTTATTTAATTAATTTTATAAAATTTTAACATGCACACGATAACTGTATATATGTTAGTTATTATGTATAACATCACAGAACGAGTAGGTGATGAGGTTCTTATTATGAAGAACAACATACAATCAAGGGATTCGCTTGATGTAAGTAAAATAACCCAGGTATATAACATCTAAAAGGGATGCGTTCTGCCGACATATTATATTGGCTTTATATTTTCGAAATTTTGGAAACGCAAAATTAAACTTCACGGCTTTTTATGTTAGACGATGTAGGTATAACGCGTCCCAGATAGAACAATTCCAGTTGTCCAGACGAAGGAATTTGTTGCCTTGACCTAGTCGGGATCGAACACACACCACTCGTAGAATACTCAGCACTACACTGCCTTAATGTAAACTGATTGTATTATATGAAATAAACTTTCCAACGGTAAAACACCTGGCGAAACGATAAAATATGCATACACTAGTCATTACGGATATTTACCATAACAATACAATGCAGAATAGAGAATAATGGCTTTCTCTAGCTCAACTACAATTGCAAACGTTCGTGCGAACAATTGTTACTTGTTTACTTATTCATTTCTTATTTTCTCCTTTAGAAGAGTCTGCTATGTGGGTTGCTCATAAAAGCGGTTTAACCGGGAATTACCCAGGGCAGCAATCACAAAACGATAACGAATTCCGAAAAGAAAGAATATGTTGATCTTGTTGTATTTGTTGTTGACTGTATTTCAAACTACCTTCATTCTGCCTTGCAAATGCATGATTAATTTAAAGTAGGTTCTCTCAAGTTTTATTTGAGATTTAGGAAAATATATTTTTAAATTATAATGTAGGAGTATGAAAAAAAAATGTGAGCCGTCACGGGACGCCTGGCAGATGTGAAACATCGCCATTATTTTGTAAAAGTAATGTGCAGAAAAGAACATATTGTGATAGGAACTAAATATGTCATAATGATAAAATAAAATATTACGATTGCGCATGGCGACGCGTCGCCACACCGTACACACTACTGCATATAGACTGTATATAATTATATACCATCGTATAGCGTGGCGACGCGTCGCCACGGTGGCCAGAAATCGGTTTTACGTGCGGCTATAGATGTTTCACATCAAAAATAATTCGGTCAAAAACATTACGTCAAAGGTGTACACACTAATAGGGTATCTAAAGTCCAGACGGAATTATTATTAAAAAACAAAACACTTTATTAATACTTATAGGCGGATAAAAGACCCTTACTTTAAAAGAATGTAATAAATTCTTCTCGAGAGAGTCAACTTGAACACTTACTTAGTCAAACGTTATTATAGAATACTTTTAGTCAAAACAGTGCAGGATCGTCAAAAGAAATCGCATTTCAACCCGTTCAAGCTAGTTTTACTTTTCCTCTGTGAACACAATATTTTCTTCAAACCCTAAACACGTTCCACAAAGTGCTTTCAAAGGCGGTTCGTTTCCAGCACCGATGTAGGTTGGGCTCGAGAACAATAGTGCAGCATCAGGCTTGGCATAGTGCCTCTGCACTTAGCACGAGTAATGTGCGGTTACAAGGTTACCTTTTCAACACTTGCAATTTAATTTACTTGGAGAGAGAATAAAGCACTCAAGAATAAAAGGGAAAGGGGAAATGTCTATATTAAGTCTTACAATCTCTTTCTCAAAATGACCCATTAATCTCCTACTGTGTGCTCAGGTCTTATAAGACAGTATTTAAGAGCTTATCTGATGCAGTGCGGGTCTTTAGTTTTTTACGACTACCGCCACTAAATAAATGCGCTCCAAAGCAGCTGGTTGATATCATTTCTACCTCCCAAAATATGGGTTGCTATTAAAAATTGGGCTACAAGAATTCCAAATACCGATTGAATTTCGCTCGGCCTCTCTTTATCTATATTTTTCTATTTATAGAAAATACTAAAGAAATAGATAAATCGAAACCTATAAAAAATTTAGCAGTATAACTTTAAAAGTTCATGTACATTTTTTGATAATATTTAGAGAATTTTTGCTACTAACATACCAACCGATCGTAATTATAATTTAATAGTTACAAAAAATGTATTATAACTTTTATCCTGTACACCACTTATGTCAAAAAACACACCTGTTATAAGAGGAAAAGTTTAGTGATTATATTGCACATTTGGTGAAGGTATATTCCAATCAAAAACCCATACAGAATTTGGACAAAACCGTATAGGAAAAGATACATATTTATGTAGCCCGTCGTAGTGAACTAAGTTTTACAATATAGTTAATCGTAGATCTCAGTTCTTGTATTAAACTTTTTGTAAATTAATAAGCATGCTGGTTCTAATGTTTTTATTATTTAACCTAATGTATTTGTATATGTAGATTTCAATGTAAGATTCTTGTACTAAAATGTACCCTTTGCCCTTTATCAAATAAAATATTAATCGCGTTATCGAATTCCTTCACGTAGGTCTACCGAATTTCTATCGCACAATTGTAAGAGAATTTTATTTTGGAAAGTCTCGACCTTCGCCTTGTCAATTCTGGCAAGTTGCCAGGCCACAGCTGTAGACTTCGGTGCGATTTCAATAAACGTATTTCAGGAATAAAATAAATGTAAGGCAGCTCTATGGTACTCCGAATCTTGATAATATCTTAAACTTAACAACTTAAGAACGTCGGGCCGAAGTTAAAAATCATTTTCAAATAAGTTTAACTAATATATCGCGTTTTAAACCGTTAAAGTGTTTTATTTAAATGTGTACTACTCGCGTAAACTATAGGCAGTATATACATACTTATTTGTTCAATATTGTATAGCTTTTGCGAAGTTTTACAATTGATATATGTTTGTACTTGTTTATTTGCGTTAATTCCAACTCGCGGCGAGTAGAAATTGTGTTATATCTAGGTATTTGTCTAGTTGTAATTTATCTAAATGAAAGACTAATAAGCTAAAGACGTCGAAAATAAGGAGCAACAAAGCTGCTTTGAAGTACGTAAGCTATTATTATTTTGCTATTGTTCTGTAGTAAGCAATGGTTTACCAAATAAATTTAATGGTACGAAGTAGTATGTTTTTTTTATATAAAGTTTTCATGGAGTAGGTAGTCTTACATTATATTAAACATGATAAACCAGCTTGGGCTTAAAAGAGTAATGAACGAATTGACGTCAAATTTGTACTATGTATTTTACAATATTACTATGATTATATACTAAGATAACCTTAAGTAACTTCTTTTTCTAATAATTGAAAAAGTCCATTATCTATAATGATTAACGATACTCTTGTTATATAGATATATGGATTAATTCTTCTATTTAATTGTTCGACAGTGGCATGGCGGCATATCCTGCGAAGCGGCAGCCGCGTCTTCATCTATGGGCGGCGCGGGCGCACCTCTCCTAGCCGATTCCGAACTAATCAAGCTCTGTCCAATGTGCCGCGTGCCCATTGAGAAGGATGAAGGCTGTGCTCAGATGATGTGCAAGCGGTGCAAACACGTGTTCTGCTGGTACTGTCTGGCGTCGTTAGACGTGAGTATCCTGTACCTATTATTAATTACTTTGTTGATACAATGACTCTTGGTCTAAAGAGCGCCACCTTGAATATTCTAACAGTAAATATATTTTAACAAAACACTTTAACGGTTTAAAACGCGATATATTGGTTAAACTTATTTGAAAATGATTTTTAACTTCATTCCGACGTTTCTGATGCTTTACAGCAGCCGTGACCACGGCTGCACACTGCACAGCTTCGCGTTTTAAACCTTAACGGTTTAAAGTGTTTTATTTAAATGTGTACTACTCGCGTAAACTATAGACAGTATCTAGTAAATATATTTTTAAAGATTATCTAAGTATAGTATGCTGTGACCCATTAAGATGCAAGTATCAGAATTCGTCACTGATAGCTGCAGAAACTGAAACAGATGGCGCTAGAAGCAAATTATCCTGATCTTAAATTTGAGAATGACGTTAGGGACACCTCCCATCTTGCCTCGGCTGGTCCAAAGCTATCCAAAATCATTTAATGATTATCTGCTTTATTTTGTTACTCTCTCTCGCACCGCAGCTCCGCAGTCATGTTTTGGTTAGGAAGGGCACACAAAACGGAGTACCTTTTCGCTTAATAAAACCCGCAGGAGTTAGTTAAAGTTAATGTTTGTTCTCGTTTCAGGACGACTTTCTACTTCGTCACTACGATAAAGGGCCTTGTAAGAACAAGCTGGGACACTCTCGGGCTTCTGTCTTGTGGCACCGTGCTCAGGTATATAATATAGTCTTTCATTACTGGATTTGATCTCGAGTGACATTGTGTTATATTAACGTGACACTCAAAAACCTCGCCTACTATGCAAATTAACATGCAACATTATTTAAAAATATTTTAATTTTATCAAAATCAGTTGAGCTGTTTGGAAGTGCAAGAGTTGCAAATGTATCCCTCCAATTATATATTAGTCATGGTACTTATATCCGTAACACGTCTCAATAATAAAAAATTGCAGGTAGTCGGAATATTTGCCGGCTTCGGCTTGTTGCTGTTAGTTGCAAGTCCGCTGCTGTTGCTAGCAGCGCCATGCATCGTTTGCTGCAAATGCAGGTATAGTTTTTATTTACTGTATTATGTCTTTCACGTAATAAGAAGTTTCTAATATTGTTCTGACTTATAAAAATGCATGTAGCCAAATATGTGGGCGCGAGATACACTATTTCTATATTAGAAGAAGCTTGATGGTAAACTTTTCAATTTTCATTTCAAATTCTTTTGCGATAAGGATTGATAGATCTTATAAAGATTTATTAAGATCTCCAGTGGATTGGCTGCATTAAATGTTTAATGTGTTATTTCTAACATTTCAGATTATGTAACCCAAATACAAAGAACTTGGAGGAAGTCGATGAAATAGAAAGCATAAGTCCAGGTCGGGAAGACGACGTATCAGGGACGCGGTATCTCACCGACTGATATTAATACGAAAAACGAAGCAAAACATCACAGTACCTCAACATGCAAGCCGGTTACAAGCCTTCGATTAGTTACTTAATGAATATACTAAGGCCCAATTTTACCAAATAATTATGATATTGATTAAAGTTGATTGTTCGTTAATGGCCTCTGTAAAAGGCGGTTAACGGTAGCAATGTATGTACAATATGTTTCAATTAATCAATTTATATTTTTTCTGAAACATCTTGGTTCGTCTGGGAATCTTTATATTAAATGTTAATCTCCATCTACCGTCCACAAATGGAAAAGCCGTCAAGTTTAATCGCGTTACGATTTCAGTCTGTGGATTTCCGAATATCAAAAACAGCTGTTTAGATAGCTGGGGTAATTTACCTTCCATCAAGGGAACTCCATGTCTGTCCTCTTCGATCTTAAAGATTGGTTAACGGACGATTAACTTTAACCGCTGTCATCATTTCTTAGTGGAGTTAGGTCTTATTAACAAAATATTACATCACTATGCATTTGAAATAGATATTCACATCTTAAGTTACTAACGAACGTCCACGGTTGTTTACTTAATTTTAAGTTAACTGAGGGTAGTAGCAAGTATTGAGGTTAATAAATTGTGTAAGGCTTTCACGGCCACCGTTCAGCATGTCATTGTCTTTCGGGCCGTTCGGTCGATGCTCGTTAACTTTTAACGTTGAGAATTAATTATTCGAGCAATCGAGGAGTTAACATCTCCTGATGATGCCGTCCACACGTGATGGCGAAACGTCGAGAACCTCTTCTCGCACACATCGGCCGAACAGCCCGATAGACAATGATATAATATTGAGGTTTTTTGTAATATTCTGTAACATCAAATATTTCATGTGACAAGTGTTAACACTGCCTGGTGTGTCAAATTACTTAACTTGGACTTTCTGGATATGCATTTAACCATTGTAAATATTACATAGTACAAAATTGAGTTGAAATACGGTCATTGAAAGGCAGTTTGACCATAATTTGTTGACGTTTAAGCTATAATATAATGTATACGTTCGGTGTAAGAGCAAGAAACTGAAGCATTCATTCATATATGTATATTTATTTTGAGAGCGGTTCTGAGAAACAAAATAAAAATAAGTAACAAATAAAGATCATTACATAGATGGTTTGTTATGTTAAATCCACGTATAAAAGTTGTATTGAGTGTAAGCGAGTAGTACACATACATACAAATAAAACCCTTTTTAACGGTTTAAAACGCAAACAATATAATCGACCTTAAACTATGATTCAAACTAGTACTTGTTTATCTCCTTGAAAACGATTAACTTATATCGTTCTCGGTTTAAACTGTTACAATATGTTTTATTTAACGTTTATTATATTATGTCATGTATTTATTGCATTTAGCTGACAAAATTATTTAAGCAAATGATAAATGTTGCGTGTATAATTGTTTCTTGTGGTTGTATAATGTAACTTTGTCGCTTCGTTTTAGAATTTACTTAAATTGATGATAATCTTCTGTTGTACAGAAAATTCTGACTGATTTCGTAAATGAGACTGACACGAGTTCTGTCGGGGTGGGAAACGTCATCTACCCCATTTTCGGCAAAGATTTGACGTTTTTCAAACGTTTTCTTCGCAAGCGTAACTATAAATGTATAAGTGGATGTAATTGTTCAGGGCAAGCTTTGAGAAAAGCTTATATAATTTATTATATGAGGTATTGATTGCCTCGTAAAAATACCACAATTATACTCTTGGGTCCCAAGCTTATCACTAACCACTGCCATCATCATCACAATATACTAATGATCTTACTCCTTATGTCCTCACCGACAAGCGATACTGATTTATATAATGGCGTTTTGATGGCATGACACCTTGGCTTGGGACCTCGGAATGAGAAACACGAATAGTACTTGACCGCCATGGCTAAATGCAACGCATTACATTACGCCAAAAGTCTTGGATACTAACAATAAATCCAATCAATTACTTTCTCGTAAATAGTATAGACGAAACGGACACACAGTGTTCGCCCTATACCCCACATAGCGGCAATGGGATTACATTTTGCCTTGACAGTCAGATAGAGTAGAGGTTTCGGTTCGAGTGTATCTATGCGATCCTCGACTTTAATATAGCGCATAGCGCACTATTGTATCATAAGTTTTATTTTTTAACATTAAAAGTAGTTGATCGTGTCATTAAAGAGGGTATTTATTCTTCAGTAAGCAAAATAACTAGATATTTTTTCGAAGATGAAGATAAGATGAGACGCAGTTATTTTGCTTACTGCTTTTGTATCTTGGGTTTGTCATGCCAAACATAACTCACCTCGAAGCCACCAATATTGTTACGAGAAATCGAAGAGACAACATTTGATAGATTCTAGAATTGAGCTATGTTTCGTAATATAAACTTTAAGTGTGTTAAGTAACTGCAATGCAGTGAGAAACAATTCATATATTTACAAATTATTTTTCTAATCACCTGATCGGATCATTGTAACACACTGCTTCCCTTGTGTGTGCTCACGGCGAGCCTTAAAAATAACTAGAGAATTTTAATATTTATATCCTAATATGAATGTAAATAATATTCGTTAATTGTACTTAATAGATGGGGTTTGATGTGTAATGCTTATGATAACGTTTTAAGGAGAACGCCCATTTTGGGAACTTGGGCCTTCTTGTATGCGGCGGTAATTAATAATTTATTTATTTAAAGGTTAGCAATTTATATGAATATTTTGACATTTCAATACATTGTAAGCTCAAAATTATTATTGTAGTACCCAAGGGTAGAGAAGAGTAAAATAGAAATATTATTTCAAAATGTGGGTAGGAAGGATGTGACATTGTTACAGAATTGGTTTACCCTTCCGTTATTATTACTTCAAAAGTATGAATTAAAATTTAAGTGTATACTTCAATCAGGCCAATGACAGAACAAACTGTGTGGGCATTCTCCCCCCCTTGGAAGAACTTCAGCAAGCGAGTATATCATCATCACTATACAATCAACCCTCATTAGCTTGTCGTAGCAAGCTAGCTAAAGCATTTGTAGACTTATTCAGAAATGTCTATATAGGTATCTAGGTGTAAGTGATTTCTCAGTTTTTAATTTAGACTTGTTTACGTCCATTTACTTTTTTTTTCGGATGAAGCTTGCGCGCACGTTGCACAAGATAATCACTGTGCAAACACTTAAGGTCGCTAGTTTCGTTTTTTAGCTATAATGAGAGAAATGATATTTTTTGTTATTTGTAAATGTATTACTTGTTTACTTTCTGTTGATCTAATTACAAATAATTTAATAAAAATTTTGATGACATTAACTGGTGTTTTTTTTTATATAAATATCTTGAAATTTGTTTAAAGGAAATACCTAATAACAGTTTAATACACTTTAAAGCTTTTTATTAATAAATTGGTACATCTTAAAGACAAACTACTCGAGTACAGGCAATTACCACTTTCTTGATAGACCAGCAGTTGAATCAAAAAGCAGAGGATTCTTAAATTCACCTCTCATGTCTACCATGTAATGCATAGCTGTATTTTTCACCTTCAAAGGTAATTGTACTTTGGCTAACTTTCTATCTTCCTTGCAGCAGACATTTTCAATTGGCACTTTCATAATTCGGTTTTTACCAAAGGGAGTGTATGTTACAAAGGTGAGGTGTCTACCTCCTTTATTGAGAATTAAAAATCTTACAGAACGCAATGTATACATCCAAATCATTCCTAAGGATCCAGTACCTGTAAGCAATACAATTATATTAATTAAATAAAATATAGGAGAAACTTTTATAAATTTTTTTCATATTAAAGCTTTAAGTATTTCAGTTGTATCAGATGGGTGTTTATTATATATTTTACAAATTAACATTACTGACCTACTAATAAGGCCACAGCTCCTAATGTATTTTTATACTTGTTTTCACCAAGGTTAATCTTTCGAAACCAAGGAGTGTTCTCGTCTACGGTAGAAGTATCAACTGGAGCGTCTTTCAGAGTCTTTAAAGAAAATACACCTAAGTATGTCCAAAACATATATTGAACAACCGCAAAAACGTTCATATACATAAAGTATTTTGGATTTTCGTATTTAAATAAGATCACATCTTTCGTAACTTTGGTATTTACATCGTGAATAGTTCTAGGAATGTTGGAATATAGCCGGACGCAATGTGATGTATTCGTATTATAAGAAATTATCCAACTTTTAGAAGTAATAGCCTTTTTCAATACTGTTGTCATACAGGGTAAAAGCATTTTTAAAATTGTTTATTATAATTTAATTATTGTTATTGAACAACATAACGGCTTAACATAACCTAAAAATTAGGAAAACAGCTGATTATAGATAAAGGCTAAAAACTATAGAATATAAAACTTTCATGAGAATTATAAAAAAATGAAGAATATCTATAATATTGGGAAAATATATATTTTGACTTTTTGCTAATAATCTTTAAATTATAATATTATATAATAAATTATTTCAAACCTGAATCATTTTTACATTTTTCATTAACATAATGAAAAAAAAAACTTAAAGCAATATATTTATAAAGCGATTCATATTGTCTGTGGTCATTGATGTCATGTATGATAACTGTGGCAATAGTTACAAAGTTGAGAATTCAAAAAGTTGCACATTGTTTATGGAACTTGGCGTCGTTGTCAAATTTAACGCATTAAGGTCGTGTAATTTAACAAATTTTGTTAAAATGTTATTTTGTAAAAGTAATTAGTGTTTACAATAACATCGTCTTGTTTCCAAGACACTGCAACCATTACGCACGTTGTATCAAAACTACAATCAAAATGGCTGATATAAAGGTAACGATTTGCGCCGTATTGGCGGCATTTTGATCAGTAACGGTCGTCGTAATTTATTACATTTTAATCATTTAACTTTTTCTGTCTCAATGTATACATTATAATTATACTTTATTTTATTTGTATGTCCTTAGGTAGGTTATACATTCGCATATTAAATCATTATGAAAGATTTATGAAATATCTTTGCCTAGAACCTGTATTTCAAATTTAATTGAACCGATATTAAACAAAATCAGTTCAAATAACATATATTTATAAATATGTATTTTCTTTAATAGTTGTTTAGTAGGAGTACAACCAAAATAATGAATGAAGCATCATATTATTTGTCTATTTTTAAATCTAATATTATTTTTTTGATTTTCAACTGTTTGTTCTAGGTATAAAAGATTAAATACTTAGCACTTAAAGTATACATTTACATGTAATCTTCAGGTACCTCTATAGTTTTTAACCATTCATTGCAGACAATGTTTCAAAAAATGAACAATGGTCCGCAGAATGGTAGTGGGGAGGCTGTGCCATCGAAAACCCAAAAAGGGACCATTGAAAAGATATATCAGAAGAAATCACAACTTGAACACATTCTTCTAAGACCAGATACATACATTGGATCTGTTGAACGTGCTACTGAAACAATGTGGGTCTATGATAAGGAAAAAGAGTGTATGGCGCAAAAAGAATTGACATTTGTACCTGGTAATTATTTTTAATGTTAAAATATTCCCTTGTTTTAAATACTGAAACAACAAAGATTGCTAGTAACACTGATGGGGTTAAAATCTACAACCACAAGTAAACTGTAGTTGCTCTAACAATGTGCCCTTTTCAGTTTCAATCGTGAAACTTTTATTAATTATAATTAATATGAATTATTGAAATATTGGATGATAAATATTATTACTCTCAGTAAGCTCTCCAACATATTAGCTTTTAAATATTGTCTTATACAATAGAAATATTAAAAATGAAGACTCAATCCCTTAATGTAGTTATTGTAGTATGTAATTCTTGTAGCATGTGATTCAAGTTATGTGTAACCTACACGCACACTACACATACACCGTAGGCAATTGTGCATTGATTCTTTCATCTTATTACAGAATATCTATAATAAATGAAACTTTTCTTCTTTCAGGTTTGTACAAAATATATGACGAAATATTAGTAAATGCAGCTGACAACAAACAGAGAGACTCAAAAATGGATGTTATAAAGATTGACATTAATCAAGAGCAAAATACAATATCTGTTTATAACAATGGATGTGGTATTCCAGTAGTAATGCATAAAGAGGAAAAAATGTATGTTCCAACTATGATTTTTGGACACCTTTTGACCTCATCCAACTATAATGATGAAGAAGAAAAGGTTACTGGAGGACGTAATGGTTATGGAGCTAAGTTGTGTAATATTTTTTCAACAAAATTTACAGTTGAAACTGCTTCAAAGCAATACAAGAAACACTTTAAACAGACATGGGGATCTAATATGACAAAGGCGTCTGAACCTAAAGTGAAAGAATCTGGAAAAGATGATGACTTCACAAAGGTGACTTTCAGCCCTGACCTGGCTAAATTCAAAATGGAAAAATTAGAGGATGATATTGTAGCTCTAATGTCCAGACGTGCGTACGATGTTGCTGCATCTACAGCTGGAGTAAAAGTATATCTCAATGGAGAAAGAATAAAAATAAACAAATTTAAAGATTATGTTGATTTATACATAAAAGGTAAAGAAGACGAAAATGGCCAACCTTTGAAAGTTGTCTATGAAAAGGTAAATGATCGCTGGGAAGTTGCGTTAACACTCTCAGACAGAGGTTTCCAACAAGTTTCTTTTGTCAACTCTATAGCTACAACTAAAGGAGGTAAACACATTGACACAGTGGCTGATGGTGTTGTGAAAAATGTTCTAGAAGTATTGAAAAAGAAAAATAAGGGCGGTGTTAACATTAGACCATTCCAGGTTAAGAACCATATGTGGGTATTCGTCAATTGCCTAATCGTAAACCCAACCTTTGATTCACAAACCAAAGAAAACATGACACTCCAAGCAAAAAGTTTTGGATCGAAATGCGCATTTTCAGAAAAATTCATAACGGCAGTTACTAAATGCGGCTTAGTGGAATCAGTGTTGACATGGGCTAAGTTTAAGGCTCAAAATGAACTTGTGAAGGCTTCCGGAAAGAAGCAGACTAAACTGAAAGGTATACCTAAGTTAGAGGATGCTAATGAAGCGGGAACTAGAAACGCACATTTATGCACATTAATTCTTACTGAGGGAGACTCAGCTAAAACATTAGCTGTATCCGGACTCAGTGTAGTCGGTAGGGACCACTATGGTGTTTTTCCACTTAAGGGTAAACCTTTAAACGTAAGAGACGCGTCGCACAAACAAGTACTGGAAAATGTGGAAATAAACAATCTTATTAAAATCATTGGTCTTCAGTACAAAAAGAAATACAATTCAATGGATGACTTGAAGTCATTGAGATATGGTAAAGTTATGATTATGGCCGATCAGGATCAAGATGGATCCCATATTAAGGGTTTAATAATCAACTTTGTCCACCACAATTGGCCAGAGTTATTAAAACTGCCGTTTTTAGAGGAATTTATTACGCCTATCGTAAAGGCCACTAAAAAGGATAAAGAAATATCGTTCTATTCATTACCTGAATTTGAAGAATGGAAGAACGAAACGGAAAATTATCATACATACAATATCAAATACTACAAGGGTTTGGGTACTTCCACTGCTAAGGAAGCGAAAGAGTATTTCCAGAACATGGATAGGCATAGAATACGGTAAGTCCTATCTCTTTTTACAAAGTCTAAGTAACTAGTCTTAATACATATCAGGATATTAGTTTAGATTTCGTTGTATACTTGGCATATTGTTGTAAGTTTAAGGATGCCTTGTCCTATCTATAGCAATTGTAAACATTGAAATGAAACACTTTTAACAGTTTAAAACGTGAAATATATTAGTTGTAATTATTTTTTATTTACAATTAATACAACAACAAAGATATTTATTATTTCAACTATGACCTTACGTTTAGGATGCTGGTAAAATGTCATAGGGAAAGTAAATAAATAATTAGTTTTATACATTTCACGTATTATATAGTTAAATCACATAAACTACAGATTATGAAGAATAATTAGATTTTATGTCCACAGATTCAAATACGCGGGCAACATTGACGATCACCATATAGAGCTGGCTTTCTCTAAGAAAGGAGCCGATCAACGTAAGGAATGGCTGACAAGTCACATGGAGGAAGTGAAGAGACGCAAAGAGATCGGTCTTCCCGAGCGATATCTATATACCAAGGAAACTAAGACTGTTACATATTCTGACTTTGTCAATTTGGAGCTGGTACTCTTTTCTAACGGCGACAATGTTCGGTAAGTCAAGTTTAATAATAAAAACTAATTTTTATGTAATATAAATGCGCTTGACTAAAAGAAACAGATGTCGCTAGTGTAGCAGTAAGTTTAACAACTGGGCCTGAAAACATCAATTAAGAAAACTTTGGTATTACACATGATAGCATTATATAAATTAAAAATCTATTTTAAATTGATTTTTTCGCACGATATATGACGCATGTAGGTTAAAAAGATAGACGATGATGTGTAGGACACGGTTGTTCAATTGAGTAACGGCAAGTGAAGTCCTGCTAACGTCGTAAATTATTATTAATTTAAAATTGATTTTTAATTTATACAACTTGGTTTGGTTATTTTTGACAAATTTTATGGTAGGGAAAGGAGCCGTGGATCTTTCCTATTAATGGAATATAACACATCTTTGATGCATGTTACGCCTTATTCTCAATGCTTATTTAATTAACGTAACAAAAAATATTTCAGATCTATACCTTCAATGATAGACGGTTTGAAACCGGGTCAACGAAAAGTAATATTCACGTGTATTAAACGTAATGACAAACGCGAGGTGAAAGTTGCTCAACTGGCTGGTTCCGTAGCAGAGCACTCAGCTTACCATCATGGTATGTAATTAGACAAGCAGGAATGAATTTTTTAAGCCAATTAAATCTTGAATTAATTATATAATGTAGCAAAACAATAAACTACACAGATCTTGTGTAAAAAATAAATAAATAAAATGCAACCACTATCTACAAACCTATGTAATTTATTTTAAGTAACTGTAAGCTATAATGTAGATAACTTTTATATCTTTGTTTATGGCTGACAGTTACTAAAATGTATGTTACAAGGTTTTAAAAAAAGTTTACATTTTGTCTATTCTTAAAAATCCTTAATAATAAAAATATATTAGTAATATGTGACAGGCGCGTAAGTCTAATGGAAGACTAATAATAATCATAAGATTCCCACCGGGTACCACCTCCTCTATTATTAAAAAAAAACTGTCAAGATTTTAATTTACTTGTCGTTGCAGGTGAACAGTCGCTGGCGATGACGATAGTGAATTTAGCGCAGAACTATGTGGGTTCCAACAATATTAACCTCTTGGAACCGCGGGGTCAGTTCGGTACAAGACTGTGCGGAGGCAAGGATTCGGCCAGTCCGAGGTACATCTTCACACTGATGTCGCCTCTCACGAGGCTCATATTCCATCCGCACGACGATCCTTTGCTTTTGGTAAGTTGTATTATTAATATAATAAGGCGTGTAAGTCGGTTGCTAGTAAATACTGTTTCGTCAACATGAATATAACTAACTAGTTGCGCACACGATATAGTCCGCGTGGAGTAGTTATTTTCGTCTGCGTCTCGTCGTTCTTGCAAGTTAATGTTAAAAGTGTCGTGGATATTTTTTTCGATTATTTCAAGAAGAATCATTCTTTTATACATATTTTTTTTGGGTGTCTTGTACCGTTTTCGCAGCGCACACAAAGGAAGCCCTCAAAGATGAATGATACATTCTTTCCACATTTCCCATTGTTTTGCAGCTTAGTGTAATATACACCAACAAAAAAAATTAATAAATTAGAATCAGTAGCTCCCCAGATTAACGCGTTCAAAAGAACAAACAAAAAACTCTTCTTATAATATTAGTGTAGATGAAAAGAATACAGCTAACAATCCTTCATATTCTTTGACAGCACGAATTCGAGGATAACCAGCGGATAGAACCCGTACACTACGCGCCTATTTTACCGATGGTGCTCGTGAATGGAGCTGAAGGTATCGGTACTGGATGGTCTACGAAGATACCTAACTATAACCCTCGAGACATCGTTGCTAATATCCGGTAATTATGATACTTGTTACTATTACCAAGTACTTATTTAAAGTCAGGTAAATATTGTTTTTTTTTATTTAAATTATAATAAAATTTTTAATATTTTTTCAGCCGTTTGCTTGACGGTGAGGAGCCAAAGCCAATGCACCCGTGGTACAAAAACTTCCGAGGGACGATAGAGGGATTCAGTGACAAGTATGTCATTTCCGGTGAGGCAGCCATCTTGCCTAACGAAAAGATAGAAATCACAGAGCTTCCGGTTGGCACCTGGACACAGAACTACAAGGAGAATGTCCTTGAACCGCTGCTGGGAACTGACAAAGTCAAACCGCTTATATCTGAATATAGGGTAAGTTACATGGTTTTGAAGAGTTTGACATGGCTGAAAGTTCAAATTCAAATAACTGTATGTATTTTAGCAATGGGAGAAAAATTTTATTACACTAGAAAGACAATAGGTTTCTATTTAATTTTAGATAAGATACCTTTAATACTGAGCTACTGTGTCCTAAACGTCATCGCTAAATTTTCTAATCATAATATTGAAAATCGATTTTAATATAATGCCCATCATGTTTCATAAATATTTTCTTTTTAACTCAAGTAGAAAAAAATTATCTTAACAATCACTCAATATTTTTTCAGGAATACAACACTGATACAACAGTCCGTTTCCTTGTTACATTGTTACCTGGAAAATTGGCTGAAGTAGAGGCAGAGGGCATCCACAAGGTTTTCAAATTACAGACGACCATCTCCATGACTTGTATGAACGCTTTTGACCACAATAACTGCTTGAAGAAGTAAGTTTTTGCTACTTGTCTCCATTTTACTATAAAACTTTCGAACCACAACCTATTTGAACACAACTGTTTTACATTGATTTAAAACTGGATCATTAGTGTGATAAATAAATTATTGTCTTTATTATTATAGCTTAGGTTATTGTTAACACTGCCTTATTTTTATTATTCGGCCCTTGTAAACAGGACTTAATAAAATGAAATAAATGGTGTTAGCTTTTTTCATAACTATGATAAGTGTAGTTACGCAAGGTCTCTGCTCTAAGATTTACTTAAAAAAAAAAATAGTGAATCTTCTAAAGAGTGTAATATATTTTTGAAATTATCTATTTTAATAGGTATGACAAAGTGGAAGAGATTCTCCGTGAGTTTTATGATGTACGTCTACGATACTACGCCAAACGGAAGGAGTTCTTGGAGGGCCAGCTGCAAGCAGAAGCAGATAAGCTTACGAATCAAGCTCGTTTTATTGTAGAGAAATGTGACAAGGGACTTGTGGTTGAAAACAAAAAGAGGAAGGTGATGGTCGAAGAGTTGATGAAAAGGGGTCAGTTCCAAACACACTTATACTGTCTTTATCCATTTTTTTTTTCAATTTAGTCAATTGACATGTCATTAAAAACTAATTAATTTAATATAAATCAATTTAATATCTCCTGTAGTTAAGGTAGTGTAAAAAGTCTTTGTCTAGTCTATATTATGTGTAACATGTATTTAAATATCTACTGTATCTGTATGTATGTCTACATTAACTTGCAGGATATGCCCCTGACCCAATCGCTGATTGGAAGAAGCGCGCTACTAAGATGCAGGGTCTCAACGCACTGGAGGAAGAAGAACCTATAGAATCCGAGGAGGAGATTGAGCCAGAAGTAACAAAGGGTGGCAAACCTGTTGACCCTGGTAAGTTTTTAGAATAAGTTTAATAGAAATTTTTTTAAAGATGTTAGAGACAGATTACAGCCTGGTCTCCGACAGAGAGTGGTGTCTTAGTAAAAACGGCCCCGTTTTATTACCCGTTGTGTATTGCAGAGTAGTCGAAATAAATTATTTATATGTCATTTGTCTTCCAGAAAAAGCATTCCAGCAGCTAAAAGAAGTGAAGAAGTACAACTATCTGCTGGGTATGTCTATGTGGATGCTAACAAAGGAGAAGAAAGATGAATTATTGAAACAACGAGACCAGAAACTCGCCGAGCTTGAAGCTCTTAAGTAAGACTTCTTATTATCTCACTTTGTACCATTAAACGTTGAATATATTTTAAATAAAATATTACTTAACCCATTTACAACATTGACCGCGTGACCACGGCTAAAGAATACAAGCACACCAAACGTGGGGCTGTAATTTAAATTCATTGTAAATTAGTTAAATAATATATATCGCGTTTTCAACCGTTTGGAGTCTACCAATCGCGTAATCGAGCAGTGAGTGCCCGTGGGTCAAAATACATCATGATCAAATAAAATATAAATTACTTTATAATTTTTACTTCCATATTGACAGAAAGAAGACGCCATCGATATTATGGCGTGACGACTTGGACATATTCCTGACGAAGCTGGATGATCTCGAGGAAAGCGAACGTCAAGAGGAAGCAGCTACAAACAGGAAGACCTCCAAAGCTCAGGTATGATGAATTGATGATTAAATTAACGCTATAAGTTTTTAAAGGAGTGAATTCAGTTTTTATTAATATTGTTTTTGCTACTTCATGCTTTCCAAAGATGGACAGGATAAAGGTAAAAAAATAATGTTTTTTCTATAGAATTAAAAAACTAATTTTTTGACTCGACATTAAGTTGGGATTAAATAAAATATTTAACTAATATGTATTTTATAAGCATTTAGACCCAATTCTACCAAGAAATAATGACATCGATTTTAATTGATTGACCGTTATTTCTGGCATTGTATTTAAATGGACATTCTTGTCTCCCTGTCTTTATAACTTTTTTATTTTTGAGTACAATAAACTTAGGTTATCCATGTCAATTTAATTCTAATTAAAATGTCCGGCCTTTAGGCAGCAAATAAGAAGAATCGCAAATCACTAATGGAAATAATACCATCAACGGAGGGACGAAGAGTTGAACCAAAGATCTCCGAAGACATTATCAAGAGGATTCAAGCTGCAGAGAAGGCTAAAATCAAGAAAGAGGTCAAGAAGGAATATGATCCAGTAAGTATTAAATTTGTCATATACCTTTTTTTTAATAATGTATCTTGAAAACTTGAGCTACCGAGTCTGAGTGGTAGAGCAACAGCATGGAGCGCTGATGATGCCGGTTCAAGCCCTGCCCGAGTCGAAATTTTTTTTAATTATAATGTATCTTTCTTTGCAATTTTTTGATTGGCTTTAATGGTGGCATTGGAGGCAATAATTAACATGTCATGGATTCAATCCAAATGTTGCGTGTTTACTTAATTTCAACATATATTTGCAGGATGATCCAACAGGCGTAAGTCCAGCCGCCGCAGAGAAGAAACCGAGGGGAAGAGTAAAGAAGGAAAAAGTAGAAAAGGAAAGGGTAGAGAAAGAGAAATTAGATAAAAGTGATAAGGACAAAGATGGCCTCAAACAATCAAAACTTAATTTCAAGAAAGAACCTAAGAAGGTATGTTTTACTCATTTAATCTCTGAGTTAGCCTTTTATATTCTTTGTAGTTATTATATATATTAAAAATTCATAGGTGCTTTTAATATTAACTACCTCTGTTCCATTAATTACAGAAAAAGCCAACGTTCAGTGGCAGTGATTCCGAGGAATTGTCTGGTTCAGATGTTGAAATGGTTCAGCCCAGTGCACCGAGAGAACGAACCTCCACGAGACGAGCTGCTACTAAGGTATTTTTTTTTTTGTGGAGAATTATATTTAGCCTAACTAGTTAACTATTTTTCATACTCTGATTGATTTTAATTTATTTTAAAGTATTTCAATTTCAAAAATTGTTTTTCATTTCAGGTACAGAAATACAAAGACGGATCGGACGATTCCAACTCAGATTCTGAACCAGAACTCTTGGATAATAAAATTGAGTCTGATGATGAAAAGCCACCTAGAGCCCTGTCCCTAAGTGATGATGACGACAGTTTAAACATTAAGAAGAATAAAAAGAAACCAGCTGAAATGGACTCTGGTAATTAATATTACTTTTATTTAATTAATGTATTTTTTAGGAATATTTTCTAATAGAAAAGAAATATTAAGAAAATTAATATACCATATTTTGATGTCTGTTTAGTATAAGAAGCTTTTATTTAACTTTATTAAATGTTGCAATTATCAAAGTAAAATAGGTATCCTTATTTGTATCAAAAAGATATATATAAATGTCACATTTCTCACTTAATCTGTTTACAGATTGTCTCTTCGATTCATTAATAGAAGAAACAAAAAAGGAAGAATTGAACAATAAGAGTTCAGACAACGTCACCGTTCTAAGCAGCGACGAAGAACCTTCGCCAAAGAAGAAGCCGGCGAAGAGGAAACTGCTAGCTGTTGAGAAGGAGCCAGTTAAAAAGGAGCCACCTAAGAAGAAAGTCAAGCCCACGTTGAGCCTGGAAAGCGACGATGATAGTATATTCGATACTAAAAAGGTTTACATTTTATTTATTGTAGAAAAAAAAAATCTTAGTAGTTAATTCGTCTCGTGCGTAGTAAACGATTGTTGCGTTTCATAACAGATGGCGCTTGAGTATCAAGATTTTCATCAACTATTCTCAATATGCTTACAAGGGGAAAAGTTATAGATTATTATTGCTTCACGTGACGAGTAGATAAGCTCAATATTATGAATATAATATTTTTATGAGTATAGTACATCAAATGACTTTCCAGGACAAAAAGAAGCCACCAGCCAAGAAACCAGCAAAGAAGACTAAGAAACAATCCAGTGACGAAGAGAGTGATTTAGTATTATCTGACAGCCCACCACCCGCGAGGAGCAAAAATAGGGGGAAGCCAAAACAAAAGTATTTTAGCGATGGCTCTGACAGCGATTGAATTGAGGTATTATCTCTTTACTAGACTTCTGAATCCAAAGGGTAATTAAAACTCTAAAAAAAGAAAAATATGTTACTAAAGACTTCGCTGTCTGTTGTCGCCAAACTCACCTCAAGTCATATACTTATTTTTGGAAGGTTCCCATACAGATATTACTTGTGCAATTTGTGTACTTACACTACTTGTTCTATAGAATGATGTCCTTGAAATAATTAAATATAAGTTACAATTTACATATGTGTACCAAGTCAATGGTACGTAATCCTTCGTTCAAGAGCCGACTCGTACATAATTCATGTTTTTGTCCATATTATAATAATACAGTGGAATCTCAATAACTCGAATTTCAAGATATGCTAAAAAGTTTGAATTAACAGTTTTCGACTTACCAAGTATTTCGAGATACAAAAAATTTATTTGCTATAACTTTGACTTAGAAAGGGTTATAGGTATATCTTTATTTAGAAACGTTACGTTTTGGTACTACTTGTTATCTGATCAGGGACAGACTGAAAATCAGCGCTTAGCAATCCTCGCTGAGCACATGCTGAGTCTTGATGCCTTTTAGCCCAAAGTTAATATTGTACTTTTTTTTGTATTCTTTTAATTGTAAGGTTACTTTTTTTATTACTTATTTTAATTGTAAATTATGTACTTTATGATAACAAACGGATTATGTATTTATTTATTGATATTAATGGTTCTAAATTCCCCCACACCAAACATTCCTTTTGAATTTTATTGCTATGATTTCGAAGAAGTTCTAGTAAGACGTTAAGAAGGCCAAGTAAAATGTAATGATTTTGAAATTCGAGTTACAGAGAATATTATCAATACTATACTTAGAAATAACATTTTGTTCGAGTTACAAGTCTAATTAATTCGAGATACCGCGTATTTAGAGCGTTCAGCGGAAGGGAATAGCATGTTTTACGACTAATCGAGATTCCACTGTACTTCATTTTTATTATTATTAATATAAATTATAATTTCTTTAACATACGTTTTTGATTATTTCAATTCTTTGTTTCAGGATCAATGGATCTGGGACGGATCATAATATACTTACAGTATTTGTAAATATTAATTTTAAATTGGAACTGTGCGACTTATACAAATGACATGTCAATTTCCAAACCTTTCCTTATTAGTTTATAAATTATCTTCTTGCTTTTCAGTGTATGAATTTAAGTTTCATAAGGAGACCAGTGTTTTCATTTGTATATACGTTATTTTTCATTTGTGTTCTTCCTTTGTTTTCTGTCTTATTTATATTAAATAATATAATTAACGTATATTCATTTTCTATTATTTTCTCTGATGGCATAATCTCTAATGATATTTGTTAAAGAAGTCATTTTTGATAAACTTTTAACATTTGACTGGTTCACTATATTGATAGAATTTTTCTAAAATAGTTAATTATTATTATTAAACTTATTAAAATAAGTTGTAATAAAGAAGTGTTTAATTTCGTATGTCCTCTTTATATATTATTAATGTAGCATGTTCGGTATGTAGAATGTATCGTTTGACAGGAAAACTGGATATCAAACGGGGGTAGATATCGAAATTCTGTCCGGGACTCGAACCACCATTTATTAGCTATAAATTGCTATTTTACCAAAGAACCCAATAACAAAGCAAACGGATGCAAGTAATAAAACATCGTTTTTATTTAATTAGAAACGTTTAATTATCCATAACATACAGATTGTCCCAATTGGGGACTTATTCTGGGGCATAAACAGACTTAGCACCATTGTACGCCTATATTATGAAATTTAAAATAACATTAATATGGCATTTTAATAACTTAGTGCTATTATTTACAAGTTATAATCATTCTAATGAAAGTTAAGTACAATTGCAAAATTTGCTCTCTATATGAATTCACATATAGATTTTTTACTCTATTTGTATAACTACCTTCATTAAGTTACAAAATGTCGGTAAAGCTGTGTACACATTAGACAGTATTCGCAAATCCTATCAATTCTTACACATTAACTAGACAGAGGCGTTAGAACAGTCATAAAGCAATATATTTTGTACACATGACCTAAGATTTTAGTATTATCTGTAGTTTACGAGAGCAGTGCACATTTAAATAAAACATTTAACGGTTTAAAACTCGAAATGTTAACTGCTTTTTAATTTAGTCCCCCCGTGAGAAGAGCTGCAAAGCATTCGAAACGTTGGGGTGTAGGTAAAATAAAATTTAAATAAGTTAAGTAATATATTTTGAGTTTTAAACCGTTAAAATACCAACAACAAAATCGTAAAGAATACACAAACTCATTTTAGAATACCTTTAAATTATTAATTGTATTTAACACAAGTGGTACTTACAAATAAAACACTTACAATATTAGCCAATTTACATCGTAACATCAGAAAAATGAATCGTAATTACAAATGAAGTAACTAATATATGACGCGTTTTAAACCGCTATGTGTTTAATTTGATTAAATGTTAAGTATAGTCTGTAGTTTACGCGAGTAGTACAGGTTTAAATACACGCTTTCAACAGTTTAAAACGCTAAGCAGTTTAAAATTACGTTAACTTGTTGCGATTTATTTAAATACAGCCCGACGTTTCGGATATTTTGCAGGCAGCACGGTCAAAATGAGTCGATTCATATATTTCGCGTTTTAAACAGTTTTTAAATAAAACTGTGTTAACAATTATAAAGCGATATGTAATTTACTAACTTATTACCACATTATTTTCACTACAGCCCGACGTTTCGGATGCAGCAGCTGCGGTCACAATAAGTTATCTATATTTCACGTTTTAAACCGTTTAAATTAATGTTAATTCAGGTTAGTCAATACCTACTTAATTTACTATCTCTGTCAGAATAGCCCTTTGCACTTTCCCGGTCGGAGTATTTTCCGTTGTATTTACTATATCTATCGTGGCCATTTTGCCGGTAAGGCTTTTCGCTTGCACTGTAGTGTATTTCGGATGGTCCTATCGTCTTGGACCAATGGTGCGTCCAGTAGAAGTCGTCTGGGTAGCGTGGGTACGGGTTTTCACGGCAGAGCACAACGCAATATATAAGACTCCCCACTAGTGTGATGAAACCGAATATAAGAAAGATTATACCCAGGATCCTGGAACAAACATACTTGATATTAGTGTTACATTGGGCAAATTATGGTATATATTTAAGTGTGTGTTAACCACAGATTACAACGAAACCTTTATATACTGTATTTAAAAGTTATTTTAACTACGGCCCGACGTTTCGGATTCTTTGCAGCAGCCGTGGCCACGTGGAGACTAAAGATGATGTCGGGCCGTAGTTAAAATAATTATCAAATCAGTTTAACTAATATGTATCGCGTTTTAAACCGTTAAAGTATTTTATTAAAATGTGTTTACTTAAACTACAGACAGTATTTAAATTACATTATAAATAATGCTGCGGAACCATTCGCAACTCGTACGTTGCCAGCATTTGTTACGCCGCGTTACAATAACGCATCGGTCACATGTAAATCTTATAATGATTTGCAGATCGCCCTACTTTGATGTGAAGCACATTTACTAGTTTTACCAATTACTGTCGCGTTCAATGGTGGACATTCTTTCGTAAATCGACTTTTAATGTTCCTAAAAAGTCATAAATAACAAAGGTTAGCGAGGAATAAATGCGAACTACATTTAAAAAACATTTCTTTAACCGTGAGAGAATATTCTGATGGATTCGGAATCGTAAATGTTCGCACAAGAACAGTAGAAACAATAAATCATCCATGTGTGCAGTTTACGCGAGTAGTAAACATTTGGAAAACGCTTTTAACAGTTTAAAACACAAAATATATTGGTTAACTTGTTTCTTTGTAACAGCTTTTTGTTTTGTCATCTCATTTCTTTATGTCCCTTAATAGAATAAATATATTTTGAAAAACATAATGAACCGGAATTCGATTCGGATTGGGAGGCGATAACGATTTGTATATGTAATTTTTACCTTTTTCGATTCAAATTTAGGTAGGAACTTGTTTTAGTTAACTAAGTTATAAGAAGACTTATTTCTGTGTCCTTTTGTGTGACTGCGATCCCTTCCTTAACGAAACACTATGGTTTCCCGTGAATCAAACCCTGGACATACTGCACTTAAAGATAACTTTACATGGTGTGTCTGTTTATTGTTGTTTTATATAATTTTATATGTTTCACCTATTTAGAGTTTACTTATATTGTGCCATTGTAATAAAACGTCAACAGTCCTTAAATAAATAGATAAGATTAAGCGGCATGTTTTTACAATAGAAAGACGGTTATTTGTTTGTGGCTGGATTGAAAATAAGGCTGATTGGGTCCGTGGGATAAAGAAGTCGATGTACATTCCTCGGCCAAAAGTTGGATCCTCAAAAGCATTCATCATTCAATTTTAGAATTCGGTAAAGGGGACTTTTTGAGAGGCAAAGTACACAAAACTTTAAAACTTGTGTTCTTTTTGGAAGCCAGAATCCCACTTGTGGGAAATATTAAAGGGCAATAAAATACTCACCAAACGAACAGCGGTTCGAAGAACTGTAGCACTATGACGAAACCCAGTGTGACGAGGATAAGTCCCAAATTTAGCAGCAGCATCAAACAGCACATGCCTTTCACGTTTGGACAGAATGGGTTCGGCGCAGCCATCGCGTCCACCTTCACTCCTGCCTAGAACAATGTCAGAATATTACTTAAGTACCAAGAGACGTGTCCATTTTGAATATTGGAAATAATTGGGTCGTCTGCCGTTGATTATAAAGACATAGGTTGTAATTAAAAAATATGATGTAATAGACTAATTCCGTTTAGGCGACAAAATGATAATGTTACATGGTATATTATGTTCTTTCGCGATACATAAAAATAAAAAAACAATATTCAAGTGACTAATTGTCAAAAACGTTGCACTGGCGATGCACTTTTGTTTTGTTCCTACAACTCACATAATATCTAAATAGTCCAGGCGAATTCAAACATGTTTTAGAAAAATTACATTGGCTTTAGAAACATGTCGGAACCGATCACGATCCGTTAATTATTAGATTTTTTTTTATAAATTATTATAATTTTTCTAGTACATACTAAAAGTAGTGTGAATTTTTGTAATACCTTTCTAGAAACTTTGGAGCGATGCGTTGATGCAACAGATGGCGCCACTCCGCTTCTATAAGAATATACACTGCGCGGTGCTCGTGACTGTCGACTGTAAATACAAAAATACAATAATTTGTCTAAAACATTACAGTAGCTTTTAGGTAGGTAGTTTTTGTATGTGTATACCAAAATCCTATATAAATATATATAAAACTGCCTCCACATTATTGTATTTGAGCCAGCATTATCTGAGACACTAGAAAACAATCTTATATATATTATTATTTATTAACTAAGAAATTTAATTTAAATGTGTGTTAGTGTATCTACGAAACACGTTATCCAAATAAGTATTTGTATAGCAAACTTCGTCTCTAAAGGAGAAGAAACTTTGAGATAGTTTCAGGGAAGATAAATGGTGAATAGTATTTATATGTACACATTGACAACTTCGTGTTTCGAAACCCGGGAAAACAATAGCTTGCAGTCTGGTACATAAATCTGACATTTACATCACGGTGTAATAAACAAACTAATCAATTTATTCAAAGACATTATTTTCGCAATCACGCATCCATTTACTAACCGTGCCGTGCGTTGCTTAACTTCAGCGGTTCGTGTCTCGTAATAAATAAAGAAGATTAAATTGATCAAGTTCAACAGGTCGCATGCGATTCAATATCGATATAACGATCGAGGCACGATTCCAAATCGATTTGTTCCAAGTCAAGGCCGGATCGAGATGTCACGGAATCGATTCATTACATAATCGTCCGGTGGGGGCAGGTGTTAATCTCACCGACCTACAGTGTATTGGTTAACATGACGTTTGAACTGCATCGCATGATTTGGATGCTTCAGAGCTGTGATAAACGCAACATGTTTTAGGTGATTTTTGCGTTTTAAGCCGTTAAAAGAGTTTAATATACTATTATGTTTAATTAAAACACTTTAACGATTAAAAACGCTATAATATATTAGTTAAATTTATTTGAAAATGCTTTGCAGCACTACGGCTGCTGCCGAACAAACCGTCGGGCCGAAGTTAAAAATCATTTTCAAATAAGTTTAACTAATATATCGCGTTTTAAATCGTTAAAGTGTTTCATTTAAATGTGTACTACTCGCTACTATAGACAGTATTAAACTATAATGTTTTATTATTTTCGTGATCATGAAAATCAAATCGGATTAAAGCCAAACCGAATGCTCTAAACATAAAACGAGAATATATCCCGAAATAGGTCAATAGCGCATTTTAATTAGATGTTACATTTCTTTGGAATTTCATCTACCATCGAGTGAAGTCCGTGCTTCTCTGTCCACAAAGGAAGAGTTAAAAGGCTTAACAAGCATCAAAGCCCATAGTCATGCAAACAAACTAAAATAAGTTGTCAAACGATTAACAAAGCAATTGTACTGTGTACATCGTTTGATTGAGAGAGACGTCACTCTCCTTTTACACAAATTGAGGCTGACATGAATTCACATGATTTTCAATATTTTAAATATGTATTAGAACAATTTTCGGTCCCTGCGCTCTTGTAGATTAACTTTTTTATACCATGAAAATATAAATAATTCAAGTCATAAAATTGCAGTTAGGCTCTGCCTCTAGCGGCCTCATATATGTTGGGATATGAGAGGACACATTTTTGTTTCACAAAATATTAAATCGAAAATAAGTACTATTTGTTTCTAAGACTTTCTTTTATTTTTAATTTCCCAGGACTCGATAGGTCCTCTGACGCTCACGCATCGCCATTAACATTGTTGGAAGTAGTTTTTATGATAGAAGAGAGATGATTCTTTTAATGGAAGGTGAAAAACCCAAGCAACAAAATCTGAACATAATGCTTCGGCTTTTTCGGCTTTGGAGTCTGAACGCATTGCTAGAGGGCTTTTTTATCTGTGGACCGTGGAATTTCTTTCAATTGCTACTCATTTAATACGCAGATTTTCCGGCGAAATCCAACATGTTTCAGAAAAAATAAAATTGATTACAGTCGAACCCACGACCCGTCGATTATAAGCCATACATTGCTACCATTAGTCCCACGAGTCCGTCAAATTCATCTATATGTCATAGTTTTGTTTTTAATAAAATTGACTACTAGTAAATTTACTTAATTCTGTTAGGGTTGTCGAGTAATTTTTAATGTTTATAATAATTTAAAATTGCCATAAAATCAACATAAATTTATTAATATACTTTCTGTCTATCCCAATGGACGGTGGTATTTTTAGGTATAGTATAAATTGTATCTATATTAATGTTATAAAGATAAGATAGATAGATAATGTTTTTGTGTTGAATTGACCATTTATCGAGGTAGGCATATATAACATCACGCTGCACTAATATGAGCGAAGAAACAATGGGAAGTGTGGAACAAATTGGTGAAATTATTTCATCTTTGAAAGTTTTCGTTTCGTTTCGAAAACGGTTCAAAGAATCAAAAAATATGTATGATAGAATGATTCCTCTTAAAAAAAAACCAAAATAACGTCCGCGACAGTATATGTCAAACTTGCAATAACGTCGGGACGCAGACGGCGTCGTGGAATAGCTATAATTTATAGACTAGAAGGTTTGCTATCACAAAATTTGATGCCCAAATTAGTAATGCGACGTGGACGCAGTCGCGGGCACAACTACTATATTATAACATGATACAATCCAAATATCTGTCAACCCTATGTAAAGTTATAGTCGGCTTTCTACAAAGGAAAGATGACGAATTATGAAATCTCTGGATGCTTGTGAATTAGCCTCAGTCACACTTGTCATTCAAGGCCAAGGACAGTAGAAAGCAGTCTATGGGAACCGAATCAACACAGCGAGGACCAAAATATTTAATGGCCCATTAAAAACTGTCGTTCCGAAAGCGGTCAGTAAGTAAAAAGTTAAAAGACTTTTAATAGAAATAGGATACAATGATAACATTTTTTTAATTCTCGCTGACACGCGAGTAGTACACGTGTAAACAAAACAATTTAACGGTTTAAAACGCAATATACATTAGTTAGACTTATTTTAAAATTATTCGAGCCGATGTTAAAAATAATTTTAAAATAAGTTTAAGTTATGTATAACGTGTTTTAAACCGTTAAAGTGTTTTCTTTAAATTAAATTATACCTACATTATTAGAATTAAACATGAATACCATTTAAAGTATATAATATTTTACTTATTTAAAGTCTATTATTAAGTTAATCGTAAATTTAATTTTCTGAAAGTTAAGGGCGACGCGGTAGGTCCAACTCATGTTTTTTTTTCTTTATTTCCACAATAATAAAAATAAATAGAAGACGTTTGACGGTTTAACACGCATAACATTTAAGTTACCAATTTTTAATTTATTTTAACTACGACCACTGCTGTAAAACACGCGAAACGCCGAGTTGAAATAAATAAATGAGTAAAGTTATATATTTTGCGTTTTAGACCGTTGAAATGTATTAAAATGTATTGGCGGGCACCACAGACAATGAATGATATGTGTACATCGTAATTTCAAGAACATGTTTGCAACGACTATGAAGAAAACTTTCTACGTCAAAGTAAAGTCTCATGGGGTTTGTTGCCCTGTCAACAACAATACTCGCTCAACTAAAGTGATCAGCACATATTGGCTCCATTCTCATCACATTTTTACCACAGTTGATGTACCCAACGTTGCGAAAACCGTACAGTAAAATATGATTTTTACACCACCAACATCGACCTGAATATTATTCAAGTGATAAATTTTGATTGAAGAGGTAAGCCGCTTCGTTACGTTACGCGTTACGCCAGCCTGTTTAGTTGTCGCTTCTGAGGCACAAAGGAATTTAACATACGGCTTGTATGTTCTATAGTAATATTAAACATTGATTTGTTTAAGTGAAATAATCGTATAATATGGTTTAATGCAAAAAATAGTTTACAGTATGTGCTAGGGGACCTTTCGCGTTAACGTTTGACGGTATATGGTTAGATAAATATTAAAATTATTTTTAACTTCGGCCCGACATTTTCCGGTCTCCCCGTACCACGCTCGCAATTCAAATGAGGTAACGCATATATGGTTTAGGTTAAGTCTTTATTTGCAAATTAGTTTTGTGCCAAATAGACAATGAATAACACGTATGTCTCTTTTTTAAGAACGCGGGCGAAGATGACGAACGCATTATTTATAAAGCTATGTTAAAAATTGTTTTCAAATAAGGTTTGTTGTCCAAAATAACTACATATTCCCCGCGAAGTCGCATTCAAAGACTAAGGGCAAGGATTTTTTATCTATAATATTGATATACATTTTTTCTAATTAGCGAAATTATTTCAACGCTCTTTCCCCACTAACTATTCTATGAACTACGACACCGTTATTCGCTCCAATACAATGTGACGAGATGAAGTCAATAAACATACATCGCATGGGATGAGTCATGCGTGCATGCGCATGCGATTGCTCTCACTATGGGTAATTTTCCATCCATCTAGTCGATTAATGCTGGGGGTTTTGTTTTGTAAACAGGTTAAACGAGCGGTTTTGACAGAATGCATACAGCAAATTACTATATAAGTATAATATTACAATAAATTGAACAAGAAAAAATACTATAAACATTTTCAGGAAAGCTAAAAAAGAAAATTATACCCAATAGGATAAAAATGCACCTATTAAATCTACCACATAAAAGTGTTGTGTTATTTAAATAAAACACTTTAACGGCATAAAATGCAGAATCTGCTAATACATTTTGCGTTCATCACAACTCCGAAGCTACCGAATCATGAGATCGCCGTTAAGAATAAAGGAATCGATATATTTCACGTACTAAACCGTTTAAAGAGTTTTACAGTGTCGCGTTAACCACAGACAATATGTAAGTATACACGACTTCTAGACTACGGCTGCTGCAAAGCATCCGAAACGTTGGGCCATAGTTAAAATAATTTTCAAATAAGTTTAACTAACATATTTCGCGTTTTATACCGTCACAGTGTTTTATGTAAATGTATACTATTCGCGTAAACTATAGATATAGTGTTTTGCTACTGTATCATAAATTATGTCTGTTTTATCATTGCATTGTTACAATCTGCATTCTTTTGTTTGTTGAACAATTAAAATGAAAAAATAAGTAGGTAGCTAAGTTTAGTAAATATACATAATAAATGTTATAAGAAAAATAAAGTGGTTCCACGCAAAGGTCAACTTTAGTTCGCAAGAAAATGTTGCAAAAACGCACACAAAACGCTAGTATACGTCGTTATAGGACAAATCGCGTAATTGAACACGTTTCGCGGGCCGCTTGTCGGAATTAGCCGAAGGATTAGAGATTATGTCTAGCGGTTCAATGTAACCTTTTTCAGATATAAAGGGTAGATACTAAATAGTTAGTCGGTTTGGAGAAAGCACGCGTATTGTTTGGGTAAGTCGTTAGTACCGGTAGCCCACTAGCTACTTAAATGCAAACTCAGCGACAAAATCATCGGAAGTAGTAGTAGCGATCAGCACTCTTAGCTGATCGCTATTAACTCGAGTATATAATTTTTGGTTATAAGTACTATCGCCTGCGGTAGATAGACTACTGTCTAACACAGTTAAAGTGTTTATATTTAATAATTGATATAAAAGCTCCTTACTCTGGGTCATCTTAGATTACTTTGACCATCTTGAAAATCGAACTGGCTATACTGTTCGAAAGCGCCGGCAATAGTTGTAGACAATACGTGTATTTGGCCGTCTAAAAAATTAATATTTAAACTTTTGTCGTGTAATTCTAAAAATGTAACGATCTTTTACTCCGAACATGGCGACCAAAAAGGTAACTTTAATATAATTTTCAAACTGGCTTGCACATAGTAAGCTGGTTAGTAAAAAAAATATACTTTAACGGGTAGTTGTTCGTTAACTTCTTCATTGGTTTTAAAGATCTGAATTGTACTACTTATTTTTAATTTCCGCGCTTTATTAGAGAAGTACTATACAAGTCCTTGGTCGCGACCAGGCACTGATGGACGTTCGGCGATCAATTTCATTTTCTCTTTCCGGGCGCTGGTGCAATGCATTATTTTGGTCTCGTTTAAGCTTATAACGCTACTTATTCAAGAATCAAAGCAGCATCTGATAGAATGAGCTGGAATTGTAAGAAAGTAATCCAAAGCTATTGCTTGCAAAAATTCAAAAATTCTGCTGTGTAGGAGTACTTAAAATTTACCTGATCTCTGACGGTGGTCTATATGCAGCACTGGTCACGTAGACGTCTGAAGAGGAGTCTGCCCTTGGAGATCCATTTGTATGTCGCCTGCTGTTACGATCTGAAGGAGAACGAGTGCGTTCGTCCATCATCTACAAAAGATAACATGTCTTTAAGCTTTTTTATGACAAATAAAGGATTCACTTGATGGAAGGTAAAATACCCCAGCTATATAACTTCTAAACAAGATACTGTCTATAGTTTACGCGAGTAGACACACATTTAAATAAAACACTTTAACGGTTTAAAACGCGTAAAGGTGTCAATTCTGCAAGGACCCGGCCAGTTTCGCCAAATACCAACTTCGACGGAACAGATGGCGCTAGCGTAGCAATTTTTTACTTTGACGTCAGAGACATCCTCCATCTTTAGTCTCCCCGTGACCACGGCTGCTGCAAAGCATCCGAAACGTCGGGCCGAAGTTAAAAATCATTTCCAAATAAGTTTAACTAATACATCGCGTTTTAAACCGTTAAAGTGTTTTATTTAAATTCTAAACAAGATGCCATCTTTAGTTTCGGATATTAGGAAATCCACAGACGATTAAACTCGACTTTTCTTTTTGACTTTTTCATCTGTAGTGGTTCGTTGCCCGGTCGGTATTTCGATATTCCTACCATCACTTTAAAATCCAGTTTTTCAGATGAAGTTCGAACCCACGAACCGTTAATTAGTCATAGATTGCTACCCTTAGATCAAGGTCCTCTAGATTGCAACAAATTTCCTTAGTCACAATATGTTTTAACTTTTTATTTTTAATTTGATGGCTTTCTCCAGGAAGCTCTGTCATCTGTCCATGTCAAACCGTCAAAGTTGTACTTTTATTTATTTAACCAAATTACGTTTAACAGCGAGAGTGTCGTTATTGCAATTTTAAACCATCCCAAACCATCTGTCAAAACCACAGTCAAAACAATAACAGTAAGTCAATCACTGTATCACATGACGCGATCAAAATAATGTTACATGACACATGTACTGTACATTTGATTACATTAGCTTATACGCAATAAAACATTGTTATGACTTATGAGTCGAATTTCAAATAGTATTCAGCCTGGAATTCAGCAATGATTGCAATTTGTAGAGTTGCGCAAGTGATGGAAGAAGGCGGGTACGCTGATAAAAGATAAATACTAGAATTAGTCAAAAATTCAAAAAACAGGCAGGCCTGACTCGTGTACGAAAGTTATCGCACTATTAGGCAAATAAAGGTAAGCATACAAATTTAATATAGTAATCTTGTTTATTAATAAAGTAAGTCAAAAGAGTAGATATCTTGCAAAAATAGGGAAAATATGACTTACAAGGACTGTTAATAACATCTTATTGAGCGGAACTATTTTATATTTAAATAAAACACTTCAACGGTTTAAAACGCGATATATTAGTTAAACTTATTTGAAAATGATTTTTAACTTCGGCCCGACGTTTCGGATGCTTTGCAGCAGCCGTGGTCACGGGGACTCTTCAAATAATTTTAATTAATACTAATATATCGCGTTTTAAACCGTTAAAGTGTTTTATTTAAATGTGTACTACTCGCGTAAACTATAGACAGTATCTAGTATTTTATATTGTTTTAAATATTTTTTATTAAAACGGCAACAGATATACACAATATGTGACTTTCACTACGCTAGCTGGCATGGTTCTCGAGATAATATCTAGTGAGAGACTGACTGACATAACATCGGGTCACAGAATAGTCAATACTATCTACCTTTTTCTTTGTATGTACGCTTGAACATAAAAGTAGGTACAGCCTTGTAAGAAAAATCGCTATCGCTTGTAACATGGGCGTCCCGATAAATAATAATCAACGTTTAAGAGCGAATAGCGGACTGCGTTATGTGTTTTGATAGCATTTTAATCGATTTTCGACAAAAATAACTAATTTCGTTACTCCTCCAGTTATTACGGCCTTCTATATTGTTTTCTTATTATTCTGAATGTGTAATTTACGGGTTATAAAAGTTTTACTGCTATTCTTATTACGAGAAACGTTCTTTGAAAGTCTTTTATTAATTTCAAGCTACTACATACTAAATGGGACTAACTAATTTTGTAACTTTATTCCATATCAAAGTTACACTTACGTTGTACTTAAGTTATTGCAAATGTTTATATATATTATGTAGGACAGGTGAATACTAGAAAAGTAGGATATAATTAAATATGTAAGCTTCAATAATATGAAAAAATAATAACATCGACGTAACCTTTTCCCAAACCAGAATTCGAACCCTGGACCTCGATCACTAACTACTAACAAGTCAATCTAAGTTTACACTTATTTTTATATAAAACACTGTATACATAACTGTTTATAACGTCCAGTCTGTAGTAGTTAAACTAAGTTTAAATATATATATATATCAAGCTTTAAACCGTTAAAGTGTTTCATTTAATTGTAAACTACTCGCGTAAACTACAACCAGTATTTACCCCAACTTTTTTTTTTGTTGTGTTTTCCCGTCCCTATTTTTAACATTAATGGAAGTATAAAGTGTTTTGAAAGAAGTTCAAGTCTACGCGCGCGAACAGATGGACACAGAATCAAATTTTATTATAAGCAAAAGGCGTCTGTTTCCCATTTTACTGGAGGGATCCTGCGTCAATACGTTTGGAACGTAAATTACGGTGTAAAATGAACTTGTTTGTTTTATTAGAAGGTAGTAATTTTAATTTTATTAACGCGCGCTGTACGTATGTTCCGCTGAAAATATTTATAAATTCAATATACTACTTGAAAATATGTCCTTTACGACACACATTCCACGTGAGTTGCTTGTATATTTCATAGACAATATTTTGCCAGATATAAAACACACAAAGTCTTAAGACAACCTGCGACACATAGATTATTTAAATTTACACGTGTCGTTTTCTGTTGTAAACAAAAATGGCAAATAAAAAAAAATAGATTTGGATTTCCAAATTCTGAAATATAGGTATATTTAAGTAATGGCTAGTGACCAAAAAATTTTCTGTCCCTCTTTTTTTTAAAAAAAAAAATAGTATGAGTGAACAACAGAAATACTTACTTTCCAATTAAAGTTAAAAAGAAAAGACTCTTAAAAGTAATAAAAGAACTGTCAAGAAACTCGCCGTCACTCTCTTTAACGTGTATTAGTAGTAGCTTTGCAAGCTCCCACCCAAACTGCCATAGTCTAAACAGATCCCTCCCTCGGGGCACCCTTGGTATAGCAAAAATCTTTTCTACCTCTTATAATAATTCAATGTATAGTACTCACCGTATATTCAGACACAGTCCTCTCTGAAGGCGCCCGATGACTGTCATTCTCGTCTCGTGAAGGTGCTCTATGTTGAAAACCACCAGACGATGGTGAATCAACACCAGACCGGTGCGTCGCCACGTAATGGTTGCTCTTCAATTTATGCGCCATTTTCTATCTGTGTCAGCGATCTGTCATTTGTGGGTGGATAACCGCAGCATCTTCTAATTTTTCTGATGTTGGCCACCACTAATTTGTCATGTCCGCGTTAAAATTTTCGCCGTTCCGTTTCTGCAACAAAGGAATGGGTTTAGCGTGGCCTTTTCATATTAACCTTGAAGTTGGTAATTTGTGGTTAGACGATATTGACCTATACAATCCATTTATTTTGATCGAGAATCGATTGATAATATTGGGCAACCGCTGGCGTTGCTTTTGTTTCCTAGTTCACACGATTTTGTTGAATAAATAACTCGGCAATTAAATGTAATTTGACAGACGCATTGGCGATAGATTAGATTAATGCGTTGATAATTATTTATAGAGTTGAATCAAGAATAAGAATAATTTTTAAAAAAAAAAAATTACACTGAAAATATTTGTACCAAAAGTTTGGAATGGATTGAAAACATAAAACACAAGCCAGGAAAGATCATGGCTACTGTAAGACATCCAAACATCGGTTCGTTTATATGTCGTTAATCATAAGCAACTCTATTAATTTTGCGTTTTAAACCGTTGAGAACAGGAAATTTGGGACGTGTGATTTTTTGACGGGGTCTATTCTCGATAACGTTGCACGTATTTACACGTATCCAATGTCAAAATTATTTCTGTCTTCCTTGTTTCGGTTTAATAAATCACAGCGTTGTTTAGTAAATGGATGGAAGCTTGCTGAAATGTAAGTAATGATTACCTAAATTATATATATTTTATACTATTATAAACTATTACTACTATATTATACCTTAGCCTAGTTCTACAAGAGAGGAGGCAAAACCGCACGATTCATAGAAATGTCAAATTAGAAACATGATTCTGATCGAAATAAATCTTTTACCGCTATTATTTATAGCAACCTTCGGTTCGCTCTGATAGATTACTATTTGAAACGAATAAAATACAGCAGTCCTTTTATGATATCTATTGTTGGGGCTCGAGTGTCTACTACTGTCTGTTCTAAATTTCATCATCATCTGTTTCCCGTATCTCAGACTCAGAAGACATATGGACTTGTACATAAAAAATAAAACGCACTTCGTTTATTTTTGCACGAATCCCCGAATAAGATTGAACTGTTTTTACAATAAATCGGATATTTATTGTAAAATGCTTCCTTTAAAACGAAATAAAAGAGATTGAATTTGTATAAACAACAGATTCATGATTATGATAGACTGAATTTGAATATTTATTATACAGTTTAACAATCATATAAATATTAAATACTGATTGGCGCCCATATATAAAAAGAGTGCTTGCGAAATGGAAGGAAGCACTTGGCTTCTGCATTAGTAGAGCGTAGATGCAGGGCCCCTGGAGTACTATATACATTTCTTTCCTTTTACTTTATTTCTAGACATATATAGATTTATAGTCAAGGCCTAGAGGATGGCAAACAGATGTTTTTTCCATAACAGATGAAGAGAGACGTGCAAATCATGGGCTTGCTTACTTTATGGGTTTTGTACACCAACTTTATAATTTCTAAATGTGCCCCATTTTCGCTTCTTGGAACTAAAATGCGATTTTACTTCACGCCTTCTTTATCTATGCCATACAGTTAGAGCATTAGATCAGCGAGTTAGTCTCTAGACAAACTGCTAGTTCTAGGTCATACTGGTCTCCCC